ATCCCTGACTCACCTTTCACACTGTAATAATAAGGTGTATTGGTCCCTCTCTATAATCACACTCAGTGTTGGTAGGCCACACAGTTGAGTCTGTTGGACATTGTGATGGCCATTGTTTTTTAATTGTATTCCCATGTCAAAGGATGCTAACAGTAAGAATGGAGGAAAAAATATTTTTCCTGGAATTGAGAAGACAAATTATAAAAGGTTATTTTCACCTTTCATTTAGATTTCAAAGATATTTCCTGACTGTTTGAGCCACAGCTCTCCCCCTTCCCCCACCAAAAAAAAGTTGTGGTCGAGTTGATTGTGACTCATGAAAATCTCATGCGTCAGAGTAGTAGTGCACTCCACAGGGTTTTCAAAGCTGTGACCTTTTAAAAGCAGATTGTCAGGCCTGTCTTCTGAGGCATCTCTGGGTGTGATGGAACTGCCAACCTTTCAGTGACTAGTGAAGCACTTAACCGTTTGTGCCACCCAGAGACTACGAAGACAGTTACAAATCTTTCATTCCATCTGAAAATCATTTAAAGAGTCTTTTCATAGTTACCAAGTCCTTGTTCTTTGAAAAGCAATGTGCTAAACAAGAACAGATCCTGAAAAGAAGTTAGTCTAGGCTGGTGGAAAAGGAGTATGCTAACAGCTTTTGAAGTATACATTCTGAAGGGCAGATTATTTCTTGCTTAGGGAAACAAGGGAACACTTTAGGAGGTGGCATTTCAGCTTGCCCTTTAATGACTTTTAAGGACTATGTAGTATGACTAGAAAAGATTTGCTATGATTTGTAGTATGTAATATGACTAGAAAAGATTTATATATGAACAGATAATAGTATTGTATTCAGATTGGCTCAGTGATTCTGCAGGTTGGAGCCAGAAACTGCAGTGGACCATAATTCAGCAGTTTCAAAAAGAATGGTAACATGAGTTGAGTGGTCATTTGGGGAGATCAATCTGTGTGTAGAAAGAATTTGGAGAACAAAGAAATTCAATGGGAGGTCAACCGCAACAAAATCTGGGTGTAAAGGACTGAGAGAATTTGTAAGAGAGAAGGGAGTTTCCAAAGCAGTTGGATTAAAATTTATAGGATTTGTCAACAGACTGTTGGGGGGGAGGGGTGAGTGAGGTAGGGCAGAATACAATAGTCCCAAGACTGAGCACCTGGTAAAATAAACAGGAAGGACAGATGGAGAAAGGGTCTCTATTTTTGATTAATTACACACACTATGAATGTGAGTTACTCATTTAACTCTGAGATCTGAAAGGAAGAAGCAGAGTTTAGAGGGTAAAGGGGGTAAAGGTCAAGGGTAACATGAATTTGAGAATCATATGCAGAGAAGCAGAAATTGAAGTCATATGGTTGAATGAAACTGCTAAGGGAAAATAGAGAGAGAAGAGTCTATATACATAGTCAAAAATACATTTCTTTACCCTTTTGAATTGCTTTCCAGAAGCTCCTGGATAAATTTCAAACTTGACTGCAAAAATATCCTTTAGTTTAGGTTTTCTGACATAAATGACTCTTTTGTCTCTATCTTTAAAACGTCACCCCCCCAATAAGGCTTCATGTTTGAGTTACTTGTATAATACTTTTGAAATACTATGTATTTCATGGAATCCAAGATGCATATCTTAACACCTCTACAATTGAGATGTGTCTTAATCAAGGGGTGATGTGTCAGTTTAATTGGAAGCATGTTTTTATTCTTTGTAGCATATTAAAAATAGTCCATTTTATAGTCAATGGTGTCTGAGATTTGATGAAATATGGTAGTTCCTGAAGGATTTTCCTAATTAATTTGTTTTCTTTTCCATGAAGTCCTTTGCTCCCTCACATCCCTCCCAAAAGGGGAAGAATCACCACTTAGGGAGGAAAAACTACAATATTGTGTGGGCATTCTAATCAATCAGGAATGGGAGATTGAAAACCCTGTCTGTGCTGAAAGGAGGGAAAAAGGCAAGAATTGTGATTCAAATATCCTGGCTCTCAAATTAGAACAAAAAGTCCTAGAGATGGGAGAAGTAAGAAGGGGCAGAAACCCAGATATGCTTGGACAAGGCCCAGGATTGCTTCTTGTTTCTTGGGGCATAGCTCCAGTAAACTATAAGCCTCTCAGAAAAACCTCCATGGCACTGAAATGACATGGTGCCAGTAGCTTAAAATGGACAAAGGAGCTAACATCTCTGGTTCCACACATCCCACAAAGCCCCTAAGGGATCCAGAAGTTTTTGCATTCAAGAAAAAACTAATCTTGGCCTGGATAAGGAATTGGCTGAGCAAGGATCTTGAAACACTGGGCTAGAAGGGTCTTCTTTGTAGGGCTGGAGTAGAGGGTATGTAGGACCTGTCCAACAGTGGGGAGACCTGGTGCTCTTTCCCATTGCCAGGAGGACACATAAATTTCTCTCTCTACCCACATGCCATCTTTGGAGAGAGGCAGGGAGACTTCCTGAATGGGAAGGAAACTATAAGAGAGGATCTGGCTCTGAAGTAATTGAGTAAGCCCCTAAAATAAAGTGTTTGTTTAAAGCTGTAAGAGACTGAGCTGTTTCAATTTTTTTCTTTTCTTCATAATAAGAAAGAATGTAGGATTTGAATGCCATATGAAATTATAATAGAAAATAAAACATCCTTTTTACTGTTCAGTTAGGTTGTATGTACATTTTAGTCCTACTACAGTGGGATCTTTGGGGGAGTAAGATGTTTTAAATACTGAAAGTACTCTGCTTTAAAGAGAAATTGGCTCAGGATCTAACTTGGCAAAATGTAAATATTTACCTTTACATGGTATAGGGGTATGAAAAGTAAGGGAAGAAATTATCATACAAATGAGAAACTAAGAGTACTTCTGAGAAGCAGAGAGGAAAGAGCATGCAAGCGATGAATTCAGCCAAGTGGTATAAAATGGTGAGATAAACTAAGCTATAAAAGTCATTTGATGTAAGGAGAAGGAGTCATTTGAAATCTTGGAAAACTGGCAATCTAACTGTGGCAATGTACTACTAATAACCATCATTTTTCATGGAACATTAGTACTAAAAGATGTGTAGTGTAGCCCCATTGTTTCATAGATGAGGAAACAAGGAACCAGAGAAATATTACAGAACTCAGTTCAAATTATAGATATAAACCAAAAAAACCAAACTCACTGCTGTGGAGTCAGATCCGACTCATAGTGACTCCTCCTTGGGTTTCTGAGGCAGTATCACTACAGAAGTAGATTGCCCAACCTTCCTTCTGAGGAGTGGCTAGTGGGTTTGAAACGCCAGGCTTCTGGTTAGTAGTCAAATGTCTTAGGTACTATGCCACCAGAGCTCCCAAATTATAAATATAAGAAAAATTAAAACAAAGTCAAGTACATTTGGCAGCTAATCAGTGATGTGTGCTTTGTGCAGTTTGGATGAAAAACATATTGAGGGTTTGAGTAAGTCCCTTTTGAAAATAATGAAGAGATTATTGATGGGAGAGGCAAAACATTTACACTAGGAAGCATCCTTGGGAGCAAATACTCTGCTGGACATAAAATGTGTTTTAATTTTTTATTAGAGAAGTTGGAAGTTTAATTTCAATATCGATGGTAACAATTTTCTCTGCTTTGTTCAGTGGAACACACAGAATCAATTTGTACAAGCATATACAACAAGTCAGTTGGTGTTGTGTGTACTACAATCAGTAATCTGATTAGTTCTAGACTAGCGGTTTCCATGCACTCCTCTGGCTTTGGTGGCATGGCTCGATTCCCAACGGAATACATTTTCATGCACTGTCTGCAACACAACTACAGCAGGCTTAGAGACCATGCAGATTAACACTGTAGCAAATTGTTTGGATATTTAACAGACATAAAAAGGTTATTTCCTGATAAGAAATTCTGAAAATCTGCATAAATATTTTTGTGTAAAATTAAATTAGTTATGTATTTTTTTTTTCAAACTAGAACTTGGAGTATCAAGAATGCCCACGTAATTCATATACACATATATATAGACTTTTTCATTATGCAAAAAGTCTTGAGAGTCAAATTATATTCTGTGCCATACATTTATTTAACCAGTATTTATTTGGCGTGTGTCTGCATGGATTAGTCTTAATTGGTGCTTGTATATCATGCAAACATAGTTCTAGTATTCCTGTTTACTAATCTTGTCATGTGGCAATACTTAGATGATTTTGCTCTATTACAGTGTGAGTTAAAGAGTATAAATACTTTATACATGGTCACATTTACAAAAGTTTGCCAATAGCCACTTCACAATCTTTATGATATTATAGTGAACTGGAACATCTGGAATCTTCAGAAGAAATTCCTGTGACACAATGTCAGATGCCAACTCTCTTAAATGTGCCTAACAGAGTTCTCCTTTGTGCACTGATGAGTTTAGGCACAAGTACAATGTCCTGTTCTATTGTTCTAGTAATTTCCACAACTTTTACAAGAAACTAGCTTCTTATGGCATGGTAGAGACATGGCACTTACTGATGAGGTAACTTAGATGTAGAAAAATTCTGCCAAATTATTTGTCTAGCAGACCACCACTTCTGCTGATGAATTTGTAGACAGAGTTTTTATTTTTCTTCTTCTTTTTTTTACTAGTGCATGCACTTGCTATTACATTGCTAATGCATAATTTTTGCTGCAGCTCAAACATGTCCTAATGCATCACAAAGCAGAGTTGTTAACACAAAGCTCACCTACTTGTGATGGTATTTTATAGCAAACATGTTTAAGTTGTATTATCAGTGGTTAAACTCTGCCTTACTGGAATATTAAATTTTTGTAGACTTGTAGCTACTTTTGGTTGGTCAAGGAAATTCAATAATCAAAATGTTAAATAGAATATGTAAGTCATTCCAAGTCTCTATGGTTTCAGGTAACATCTTTTCTACAGAGAAAGGAAACACAAAAGAAAACTGCTTTCTTCCATGGAATTTGTGCAGAAGTTTAGGAGGAATATTTTGATGCTGTGTAGTTTTGCTGCCTCAGTTTGCATTTGGGAGTCTCACACTACTGTTGCTGGTCTGCGGTCCATCTCGGCTTCCAATTTCACCATCTGCTGCATCTCCTTCGCCTGTAACATCAGAAACATGGCCTTACAAGCTGAAATCCTCTCCTAAAAAGACTTAACCACCCTGCCATCTTCTCCCCTGAATCTGAGGCTGTTCACTACATCATCACTACTCAACGTGTGGTCCCTGGAGCAGCAACATCAGTATCACCTGGGACCTTGTTAGAAATGCAGAATCTCAGGCCCCACTCCAGACCGACTGAATCAGTATCTGCATTTTAACAAGACCCCCAGGAAATCTGAGAAGGACTGGGTTACACACTGGCAGGAAACTCATTTGAAAAAAAAAAGCTGAAGCAGTCTCTTGATATAAAGGCTATGTCATGTCCAATTGTTTTGTTTGATTTAGTTTCTACAGACTGAGATGCTGCTTTGACTGTGTGTGTATGTATGTGTATGTGTGTGTATGTGTGTGTGTATATATATATTTTTTTAAAAAAATCACTTGCAGATTAAGTGTTGTTTATGCACAACTTAATCTCTTTATAGCTGGAAATTTTAAAAAAGTAATTCCTAAGAATCTAACTGTTGGAGATGTTCAGATGGGAGCATATTGCATTGTCTTGTTTGGAGTGTCTTCCAAGTAGGATGTTCTAGGAATATGTGGGGTTCCTGGAATCTTATTGTCCAAAAAATGATGCCTATGGGTTCTCATTCTTTTGATGTAATTCATTTTTTACAGACTATCAGGAAGTAAGCTATGGTGAATTCAATCTGTTGAGTTAAGACTATGTCACTAAAACAGCCAGCAGTTTAGGGGTGGGAAGGGGTCAGGTGGGGGCAGGATCTGGTGACAGATAATTAATTGCTTGGCATCATAGGGAAAAATCAATTGGTTCATTTCAACTTTACTTTCCAACTGGAAGCCTGGATGCTTTTGCCACACAGGCTCAGTTCAGATCTGCCAGAGCCCAATGCATAAATCATCTTGGAAGAAAGATAAAGCACCCTTTCCTTTTTTAGTGACACATCACTTTGAAATCAAGGACATCTAAGAATGGAAACATGGAGATATAAATATGTAAATCAGAGGAGCACTCTGTAGTAGTCTGATGTTATGATTCAGGAATGCTTAGAAAGATCTATGGAAGAGTTTGGTGAACTCTGCAGATCATACTACCAGTTGCCTTTCAGTTGATTCCAACTGATGGTGACCCCATGTGTTTCAGAGTAGAACTACATTCCATTGAGTTTTACATGGTTGTGATCTGTGGAAGGAGATCACCAGACTTTCTTCTGGGGAGCCTCTGGGTGGGTTTGAACCAATAACCTTCTGGTTAACAACTGAGTGCTTAACTGTTTATGCTACTCAGGGACATACTATGAGCATATAAATGTCTCAAATTGAATTCTGTTACAAAATCAGGTTAACCAACAGACCATAGTTATTTTCTTCTAATCATTTTTATGTTGTGGATTTAGATGTTATTTTGGTGACGGTGGATATAATTATACCAAAGAAAGATATCTTTCTGCTTAAATATTAGATAGATGGCTCCTTATGCCCAGATATTTTCTAATGCTTTAGTATAATAATACTCTATTAGAGAAATGAAGAAATGGAGAAAAATATACAAACACGAAACTATGACACAAATGGTATTCATAAGAGATGACAGTGAAACATTATCAGCACTGAAAATTAAATGCTTTTATGTTCAGAAAATAGTAATAAAAATAAAGGATTGCCTATTCTCCTCCCCTTTAGCATTAAAAAACATTGTTGCTGTTGTTGTTGTGTGCCGTCGAGTCGGCCCCGACTCATAGCGACCCCTCGTTGGGTTTCCGAGGCAGTATCACTACGGAAGTAGGATTGCCCAACCTTCCTTCCGAGGAGTGGCTGGTGGGTTTGAACCGCCAGCCTTCTGGTTAAAAAACATTAGGGAACATAATTTAGAAAGAATTCTATGACATTAAAAGATTATTCCAAAGACTAATATAGTTTTCATTTGAGCAGGGTGACCATTCATTCCTATTTGCTTGGGACAGTTCCAGTTCATGTCTGAAGTCCTGGTTAAGGAACAGTACCCTTGTTCACTCTCAAAACTATACTGGTTTGGACCATATATTGTATGGTCACCTTCCTTATGAGGGGTGATTAGAGTTCTTGGCTGACCAGACTTAGCAGAAAGCAATGCAATGGTCATTGCATCATGTTTCTAAACATAGACTATCAATCTTTGCCATTAAAAACCACTAGCAAACTTAGTGAAGTGCTTTAAAAATCAATTAGAGCCATAGTAATACAGTATTTGGGAAAGACTGACATGGTGACCCAGACATAGCTCTTGATTTGTGCATATGATGACTGGATAACATTGTTTTTGATGCCTGGGTATTTATTCATTACGATGATCTAGGTTTCCAGGTCTACAACTGGAAACGTTGGCTAAAAATCCAACAGAAGTCAATCTCTAAATATTTGGGGCATTTTGGTTTAATATTACATCAGAAATCCAAGCATGAAATAATCAGGCCTTAAATCCAAACCCTTGTGCAATAATTAGTTATGAGCAGATGTGAATCATCAATGGAGACTGCACCAAGAATACTGATGGAATCAATAAGGAAAGCAATATCTTGCTTATCAGAGTTTGAGTCCTACCTTGCATTTGGGACACTGCGTGACAGGATTTCAAAAGCTGTTTGTACAAAAATAGTAATGTCAAAATTGAGTCATACATACAAAACAAAGAAAATAAATGAATATTGAAGTGAATCTGAGAAATGAATGCAAAACCATATACAGAAAAGCAAAACGTTAAGAATAAAACATATATACACCCATCAATGACATACTTTCCCCGAGCTGATCACAAAAGAAAAAAAGAGAACAAAACAAAACAACCGATGCCTATCAGCCCAGACTGTGCCTCTCTTGTGGTTGTTCATGGGCAACCAGAGCCTTAGCAAGATCCCTTGCCTCTTTTTAGTAAATGCTAGGATTGATGAAAAAATCAATTTCTAATACTTGGGTGTGACAATAATGAAGTTGTTAGGGTTTGAGATGGTACATGTGAAGACAAATGAGGTCCTGTGTGGGTGGGAGATCTACAGGAAAACTTAAGAAGCAAAAATATCCCCAACCTTCAGATAGTTAAATAAGTAACTGGCTGATGCTATAGGCAAAGCCATACAGTAGCTTAAAAAGGAAAAGTAGGTTCGGATCCAGAGTCAGGACCAAATCATATTAGAACTTGAGTTGTTTTAGCCAGTGTCCTTAAAACTGATCTATCTAATAAAGAAGATCAATGGGGAATTGGGTGTAATTCCAGAAGTAAGGTTATAGGGAAGCAGTAAGAATGTTAAAGTTAATACTATGGAAAAATAAAATTGATTCATCTTTGGCTTAGAAACAAACAAAAATATTTTGGGGTTTAACAATGGTTTGGAAAATTGTCCTGAAAGTTTGGAATTGTCTGGAAACAGGGAATGGTTTTTCACTAATGAAATATTTAATTGGTTAGGAAAGGAGTTAGTATATAGTTCCAGACCTTGCCTTTTATGATGGAAGAAATGGAGTCATTGTATTTTTAGCTCTATGCCTATGACAGTATTTTCACACACAGGGTAACTATGAATTCAGAGCTTTCAGATTTTAAATTCCACAAAAAACATACTGATCTGGGACTCAGTTTCTTATTGAACAGGTCATATTTATAAAGTAAAGCTAAACAAAGATATTCCAGCTGAAATTCTACATTTGCCAGGAGCATCAATGTGATATCCTGATTTCTTTTTACTGAGTTTTGTTAAATCTTCATCGAGTCTCAAGTCTTCTCAAATGGTTTCTTCCTAAGCTTCTGTGACTCAAGGTTTCACTTGTGGGAAGCCGATATAATTCATATTCATAAGCATTAGCTGAAATTTTGGAACAAAAATCCATCATCCTCCCCAAAATGATCCAATCAATATAGACAACATTAACCTGATATTTTATGGAGAACTCTGGAGTGGTTTCACCACCCATGTATTATTAGGATAAATGCTCAAAGTGATTTTTTTATTATGTACTTAGGCTCTGACACTAAAAACAATAGGTAACTGTATTCTGTAGCTCTGATACATACCACTGTTGTAGTGATGAGTAATTTTTAGCACACTTACATTACTGAGCCAGACTTGTTGCTAAGTAACACAGTAATTTCTAAGTAGTTTCTTAATTTAGTTAACCAAAACATAACTGCCTTACCTTTTATTATGCCCTTCTTCTAAAGAGGTTTTGAAAAATATTTCTTGAAGGCATCCTTGTCCCCACCCATTCCTAGATCCTCATGTCCATCACTGATGTGGATTTTAATGCTTTGGAGACGGTGGTTTTACTCTTACTCATATTACCACTCACCCTTCCACCCCCACCAATACTTTTTTTTCCAGAAAACCTTTTCAGAGTGTTTTAGGAGCAAAAATATTATCTAGGAAATTTGTTCTAGAACATGATTCATCTATGATTTGGTCAAATGAATTGGACCCTCAGGACCATAACCATTTATTCGCTTCTTTGAGAATTTGTGGACCATTCATGAACAGAAGCATTTAGCTGAAAAGGAAATGTGGAACATAACTCAGAAGTGTGCTGATGAGTATAGAGTTCTTCACCATAGTAAAGAATCAGAAGTTAGATTTATTGATTGCCCAATCAAAATGCAAAAAAAAAAAAAATTGTTTTGTTTTGCTTTCTTAAAGGTACATTTTAGCATACTTCTTATTTAACTGTTCTTCAAAAGGAACCACTTACTCTGAAAAAAAAAAAAGCATATACCTTAAATAGAATATAGAATTACTTTATAGATGGGAGGAAATAGGAAAGAACAATGTAATATAACCACATATTTCATCAAAATCTCTTTAAAGTTTTTAAATTGAAGTAAATTAGCTATAAATAAATAGTTTCAATACAGTGAAACCTAAAGAGTGAAATTTGAACTGAGATTAAGATGTAAACTGTTACTGAAGGTCATTTTGCCATATAAGCTAGAGATATTTCCATCAAGTTGAAAAGACATTTGCAAAGCTGATTGACTGCAGTCCATTTGGAACGGAGGACAGCTGTATATGCACCGTGCTCCAGGTAAACATATATTTATCCTGGTTGGGTATATGCCTGATGGCCTAACTACTAACTACACTGGACTTTGGTTAACTTTTTATTTGTATGTCTTTTTACTTAGTGTTTTGCTTTGCTAGGAAATAACAAAGAGTATTGATGGCACCCACTCACATTAACTGGTTTGTAAAATTATGGTAGCTCATGCTCTTAGATTCTACTTACAAGCCCTAGGAAGGTTTTATAACTTCAGTTTTAGATTGAGGTTGAAAATAGGTGATTTTTCTCATCATTTGCTTTTAAACATAATATCTCTTGCCTGCAGGTTGCAAATTATAAAACTCTAAATGAAAAAGGAGAAATAATTTGAATCCTCTGTTTTCTCCTCCTCTCGAGAACTTTTAGTAATGTCGTTCTTAAAACCCACTGCCATTGAGTGGATTCCTACTCACAGCAACCCTATAGGACAGAGTGGAACTGACCAATAGGGTTTCCAAGGCTCTATATCTTGGGAAGGAGCTCTGGTGGTGTAGTGCCTAAGGCA